CGTTAAATGGTTTAAAATTATAATAATACGTATGTGTTAATTTTGTAAATGGTTAATATTTAAGAAAACATTTAAAAGTTACTCCTGAATATTTGTTATTGTTTAATGTCTTTTTATTTCATCTCAATTGCGATAATAAATTTAAAATTGGTTATTATTGATTGGTAACTTTTTTCCTAAAAGTAATTTATCTTGTCGTTATCTCCTACGTACCTTTTTGCGCATTAATATAAAATAGTTGCTGGCAAGAGAATACTTGTAAATACTTTTCAATTTTAAATTCTCACCATGCTAGATTTCTAAAAAATTGTGGTACAACATTACGTAATTTAATAACTATACGATCAATGTTTTTGTTGTCTTGGTACACAAATACGGTTACGTACATACGTATGTACGTACGTACAGTACAGTACATTCAAAATACTATCGTCGCTTTAATCACGTAATTCATATCTATATCACAATTTTACGAGTTTCAGTTTATACCTACAGGTTTTCTTGTTTCACGAAGTAAATAAAGAATTTATTCTTATAAATATATTTATATTTGAATAAATTACTGATCACTAGGATTTTTATTTCTCGAGTTATATCTCCAATGATTTAATTTGCGCATTGGATATTAACATTATTAGCATCTAACACAAAAGCACATACCTTGTTTGTAAGTTTGTAACACCGGCAACTCACGTAAGAGACCTTTTCAAACCAGTTTTACTAGTATATTGTAGAGGGTAAAAAATATATCGATATCATTATCGTTATGCAATTTAGTAAGTAGTAAAGAGGCTGATGTGGCTTAGGAGAGGAATCGTATGATCGAATTGTATACAGTAATCGAATTACAAACCAAATAGAACCGATTTGTACTGTACTAACTCATATATAAAATAAAGATTAGTGTTATAGCCATAGTTTCTAAGCCTTCATGCATATTACATCATGCATTCTTCTCGCAAGCATATTTACGTATATTTATCGATATACTGTTATCCAGAATGTTTCTTTCATTTCACTTTTTTTTATTTTTTCCTGATTTTAAATGACCATGAAAATATATGAAATAATTTTTCTTTTGTTTTTTTTACACTTAACACAGTTTTCATCAGTAAATGCTGAAGCTGTGGGTTTCAATAGTACTCACTTTAATATCAGTTTTGATCTTCCATTTGACACTGATGTTCCTGGTCGTCATAGCGCAGAAGTTGCTTTTTTATTTTTTTTCTTACGTGTTGCACCAGTTATATATCAATTTTGTTTTGTATATCCGAATGATAAGAAAGAATTTTTATTAAAAAATCATGAGGATAAAGCTGTTTCTAAAGGTTTAAGATATTATAATGATATTATACAAATGATTTTACCTTCTTTGTTACTATTGTTTCCTTCTTTCCTTACACCTTATAATTTATATCCAAATATATTATTCACTATATTACAAATATATACCATTATAATGATTTCTGCGTCTATTGTGTCATTTACCTTTTCTATTTATGATTATAAACATTATTATTTTCTTTATGATTATTTTAAAAATGGGAAAAAATACTTTTATGAAGATATTAATGGTTATTATTTTGATGTGAATTTTAGTGAAAAGCAAAAGGAGATTAATATTTATCTATATTTTAAAATATTTTGTGTTTTGATCGGTTTAGTTAATATGTTATTTAATTTTTGTATATTAATTTTTATCGGTAGAGCTTATGGGTTTAATACCTTATATTTTTTCGCATTTGTCTTTTTTGTATTCGTTCTATTAATTGGAAGTATTGATGCTATTAAATTATTAATTAGTGACTTTTTTAATGTAC